TCAATAAACATTCATCATGTATTCCATGTGTCTTTTCTTAAGCCATATAAGATAATAGATGTGTTGGAAAGAAGACAAATTCTACCTCTTCTTATAGAAGTAGACAATAATTAAAAATTTGAGGTCAAAGAAGTCTTAGATTCAAGGCGGCATCAACTTAGATTGAAATATCTTGTTTATTGATACAGATATAATATTAATGAATGCATATGAGAGCCACCCAAGAATCTTACAAATATAATATAGAAGATCAAAGCATTTCATAAACAACATCCATTAAAACCAAGATAAAAAATCAAGCAATTCATTGCTATTAAAGAAATAAAATTCAATAAAATTCATATTCCATCTTCTATCTTTAATTGTGATTTCTTTATATTTGTAATGCTATAAAGATAAAAAAAAATCAACTAATAGATTCAATTTAAGAACTATTATTTATTGACTTATCAAATGGGATATGGCAATTGTCTCTACCTTCAAAATGATGTAATATAAATAAAGATTCTTCAAAATAATATATTCTTTCTCAAATAGATGGCAAGATATGATGCACTTGATATTACAATCTTAGAATAGACTTCCAATATTTGATAATATTATTGGAAGTAAGAACCATATTTTATGGCGTTCTAAATATTTTATTTGAATAAAGTTATGTAAGCCTCAATAATGATCAAATATCATAGTAGTATTTTTTGCTCTCATTGGAAATATTATTGATGGCTAAGAAGACCTATTAACTACTTTAAAAAAAACAAAGATTAGAGTATGTGGCAAATATATTATGTTACATCTTGAACTTCTTTAATATATAATCATTGTTTTTCATAGATCATATCTTTAGTAGAGGGGGTGATGTCAAAAATTTCTATATTTATTCCAATAATTATCTAAATAATATGAATAAATAGAATTATATAAAAATAGATAATTTTGATATTATATTATAAAAAAGATTTTTAGAAGCTTCATAAGCATGGCTTTGCTTTTATACATATCTATAAGTAATTGGTAGGTTGAAAACTTGGCCATATGTAACATATGTTGGTAACTTGTGCTACAAGTTGGACATGTGGTATACATATAAGAAACTTCATTTGCAAGTTGAACACGTGTTGGAAATCTTATAAAATATTGCAACATAGCTTCTCATTAAATTGTATATATAGAGGCAAATGTGAGTGTTTCCTCACTTTTTTTAATTCTTTTATTTCTTCTACTCTTGTTTTAAGAGCCTCTTCTTTTTTAACTTATGGCAATAGTCATTCTAATTTCTTCTCAAATATACATATCTATTTAGTTTTTCTTCTATTATTTTTTTTAAAGAAATATCTCACTTATTTATTTATATTTTTTAAGTTCTTGTCCTTGAAAATAAGAATATTATGCTTTTGTAATGATTTGATGGCTAATTCAATTCAAAAATTGGTTAACTTAAATCTATGAAATAACTTAAAGAAAAAGATTGATATTAACTTTGAATAAAATCTAACTTTAGATAAATGAGTTCTTATTGTTGATAATATGTAATTTTATTTTCAAAAAGAGATTATTTAAGATAAGAATAATTATTTGAATATTTATTTGAATCTATAAATTGAATCTTTTATAAGTTTAATGAGTGTATTTTAAACTTATAAATTTATAAATATGTATAACTTGAAGTCGAATCGATAATTAACTTAAGAATAATAAATTAATTAAATTATTGCTTAAAAATTAAGATTTATTAGTTATTTTTTAAGATTTGATTAGGATTTTTTTTGGAATTGATAAATTTTATTTTAAATTTATTCAGACTTATCTTAAAAATTGATAGAATTGTAAAATATTGATAATTCAATATTTTTATTCTTAAAATATAGAAAAAAAAATTCTTTAAAATTTTTAGGTAAAATTTCTAAAATTAATACTAACTAGTTTTATTACCTCTTTGACTATTATCTATTCTTCTAATCTAATTTTTTATAGTATTTTTAATTAATAATTTCTATAGTATAATATTTTTTTTACCTAACAATCATACTATAATATAATATTAGATTATGAGTTCTTTCTTTCAAATTACAAGCTTGATTTTTTTAATATTTTATATGCTTGCCATCAACTAGTATATCAAAAACTATAATTTTTTGAATCAAAATCAATAATAATATTAACAATTATTAATTTTTTAAAATTTTTTATAATTTAAGGTAGAGAATAATTACTATAAATTTAATTAAGATTTATTAGAATTTTACTATGCTTTTTTAGAATTTATTTAAATTTTGATTAAATTTTTATTATTATTTGATTTTTTTCAAATTATTTAAAATTTTACTAGGATTTGATTAAAATTTGATTAGAATTTAGTTAGGACTTTTAGAAGATACTTAAATTTTATTGGAATTCAATTAAGATTTTATTAGGATTTTTGTAAGGTTCATTTATAATTTCTGTAGGATTTCTTTCGAATTAATTAATGTTTTTTTAGGATTTAATTATAATTTATAAAGATTATTTTGAATTGATCAAATTATACTAAGATATTTTTTAAAAAAATCTACGATTAATAAAGTATACTTGGCATAATTAGAAGCTTACTTAGGTTATTCAAGATTGCCAAAAGGGTGCTTCTAAACACCTTATGCATTGTATTTAAATTGTAAATTCAACTTCAAGGTAAGGTCAAAACCTTCTATAATTAGATTCCTAATGTATTTCCAAAATATTCTTTACATAACACAATAATATATATATATACATGAATATGTAATATCTTTAAAAACTATTGTGATTAGATCTTTGAATAAATTATTTTTTAAAAAGAAAAAATATCCAAAATATTCTTTACATAACACAATAATAATATATATATATATATATATACATAAATATGTAATATCTTTAAAAACTATTGTGATTAGATCTTTGAATAAATTATTTTTTAAAAAGAAAAAATATCATAATTGAGGTGAGTTTTTACTTTTAATATTTATTCTTATTTACTGATTTTTGTAATGCATTAAATTAAGAGGTTTTTGTGTTATTGGAGGTGTTTTGATGTTATATAATATATATATATATATATACACATTTCTTAAAAAATTACTTGTATTTTTTATATTATTACTAGTTCTTAAAATTTTATAGTACAAAAATTTTAATTTACAAAATTAAAAACATTAGTTAGAAAGTAGTATATTTAAAAATCTTTTGTTAGCTCTGAATGGTAATTTTACCTCTACATGGATTTTTTGGCAAAGGGCACTATTTACCACTAATATAGAAAAAAATTATTTAAAAAAATTATTTAAAAAAATTATATCATGCTAATAAAAGATCTTCAATGATATAAAGCTATAAAGAGATAAAACTATTTAGAGCCTGAAATTTGATTTTAAAATAATATGATTTTATATTAGCTGCAGTTTATATTATAAAACTTGATTTATTTACTTTATATTAAACAGATAAATAGTTAATTTTCTAATTATAATTTTAAGATATATTTTAGGCATTTGTATATCAAAATTTATCAACTTATTCGTAACAAAATAAAATATGAAATTATATATATATATATATATATATATATATATATATTTAAATCTTTTGTAGTACATAATGTATTAAACACTTCTATTTAGTACAAATATACATGTATCTGGAATTATTTTTTGAAATTATAAATAATTTAATAGATTATTATTTTACATAATATATATAAATATTATATTTAACATATTTTTTTTATGAATAAAATATATATTTATTTAAAAGTCTTAACTCACCAGTATATAAATATTTATTTAAAATAAATGTTATTGCTTTATAATATATTCCAATTTTTTAGTCTAATAAATTTTAAGTTATCATGATTTAAAAGTTTGTCATGATAATTTTTATAGTAGTTATTTTTAAATAATTCTATAAAGCAGAAAATATACAATACCTTTTTGTTTAAAGATTTATGATAAGAATAATTTGAAGCTTTTATAAGATTTATTTTATTTTAAGTAAAGTATTTAAATGTAAAATAAAATTTGTAGGTAATATTTATTTTACCAAGTTGTAAACATCAAACTATTATGTATGTAACTAAAAAAATCCCGAATGTTAAAATTAGTAAATTATCAATTAATTATTTTCAAAACACCCACACATAGTCTTTATATGGAAATTTTATAAATTCTATTTTAAGAATTAAATTATTTTTCATTATTTTCAGTAGAAAATATTGTTGATTGTTTCTGTTGAACCTAAACATCACTAAAACCAAAGTATAGAGTAAATTCATATACAAATGGAGCTTGCATGCATTGAAATTTTGGTACCATATTATGACATGTGCTTCTTAATGTTTACACCATAAAAAATACATCTTTCATGCTGTAAATGATAATTTTTACTTTTGCATTTTTTTATTACAAATCAAGTTATATGCATCCTTGAAAAAATAGAGGCATTGATACATCACAATCTGATTAGGTTCCCAGCAAGTAAAACCATTTGCACATTGCTAATCAGTGATTCTCATCAATAATTCAGAAAAAGTAATGAACGCACAAGCATCACCTCATAATCATAAATTCACAATCATAACTTCTACATCATTTTATACAATAGATATCAATACAAATTTCCACGATGCGCATTGAAATTGTTCATTCCAATTGTCATATCATTCATCCTAGTCACCGTTTTCCATCGGCATACGTGGAGGCTTCAAAGTGGCCACGTCAGAAGACCGTTGGGTGGTGCTTCCCGGGTGACCTGTCGATGGGGGGGGGGGGGGGG